TCCCAAGCCAGCTCTTAACCAACGTGCCACTCGGCCGGCCCTCACCATATTTTTTTTTTATCACACCTCATAACTGTAGGGTAAATTTCTAGAAACAGAATTGCTGAATCAGAGGGTATCTGTGCTTTTCAAACATTTTTTTAAAAACGCTAACCCGGCTGGTTGCTCCTCCATGAGGCTCGTGCCCGGGGAGGCTTCCAGAAGCTTCACCAACCCCAGATCAGCAAGCGACTTGCTCCCTGCCAGGTCGGAAAATGCCATCGCTCCTACACATTTGATTCTGCATGAAATTGAGTGTCTTACCATCTATACATGGGCAGTTGGAATCTCGGTAAACAGTCCACTCATGTGGTAGTTTTTAAAAAAGGATTCTAAAAATAATTTCATGCTCATGAAGAGAATTTAGAAACTAGACAAAATAACAAAGAAGAAAAATAAACTGCCTGTGATCCTATCTATCATTCAGGAGCCACTGGTAACATATTTGGCATGAAGTTTTTTTTGGTGCTTTTTTTTTTTTTTAGCCTTTTTTTTCCCTTCCCATCCATTTAAACTGTTTTTCATTTTTTAAATTAGGTATCATATTCACATGGTTCGATCATCAAAGAGCATTTTTTAAAGTACAGGGGGAAGTGTCGTCCCCCCGCCCCCAGTGCCTACATGCTCAGCCGCGTGCCGCTCCACATATCCACGGTACCTCATTTTTCACATATCCTTCCAGTTTTTTGTGCATATATAGCCTAGTGCATATATGGATTTACATTTCTCTCTGCCCAGAAGCTAGCACCTCACAGCCGGCCCCCTGTATCTGCGGGTCTCGCACTCATGGAGTCAACCAACTGCAGATCAAAAATATTTGGGGAAAAAATTCCAGAAAGTTGATCCCTAAACAATACAGTATGACAACTATTTATATAGCGTTTACATTGTATGAGGTATTGTAAGTAATTTAGAGATGATTTAAAGTATACAGGAGGATGTATGTAGGTTATATGCAAATACTACAACATTTTATTATACATAAAGGGACTTGAGCATCTGTGGATTTTGGTATTTGTGGGGGGTCCTGGAACCAATCCCCATTTCCCCAGTAGATGATATATCGATGCACATTAGATCATGTCTAGTGGAGGCCTTGGCCCTCCACACACAGCTGCAATAAACAACTCAGTCACGTGTTATTTCCCACATGAGCGGGTTTATCTGTCTGGTCACTTCCCAGAAGCCTATGTTCTGGATCAAAGCAAATGTGCACTTATAATTTGAATATAATTTGCTGAATTGCATTCCTCTGGAGTTTTAGCCAATTGTGCCAGTTTAGACCCCCATGGGCAATATACAAGAATGTCTTTATGAGACATATGGCTTATTTCTAGTGCGATGAGTGAAAGTGGTTCCATAGGGTGCTTTCAATTTGCAGTTCTCCTATTACAAGTGAGGTTGAGCATCCCTTGAAATACTTAAGCCTTTTGTGTTTCCTTTTCTGTGCACTGTCTGGTCATATCCTTTGCCCCCCTTTTCTCACTGATTGTTATTCTTAGTGATTTCTAAAGGCTCTTTATATATGAGAGAGATGAACTTTGTGCTATGAATTAGAAATATTTCCCCCAGTATATCACTTGGTTTTTTACTTGGTTTGGGTGTATATGTGTGTGTGCATGCATGTATGCGTGTGTGTGTGTGTGTGTGTGTGTGTGTGTGTGTGTGTTGTTTGTCTCTGCATTTTTAATGGATAGAGTAAAATTTGGGGGACTATTTTTAAACTTCATTTTAAAATCATTTCAAACATACAGCAAAGTTATAAGAATAGTACAGAGAATTAATGGGCATTCTCTGCTCTTTAACCAGTTGTATTAGTTATGTATTGCTGTGTAGCAGATTACCCCAAAACATAGCCGCTTAAAACAACAAACATTGACTTATCGCATACGGTTTCTAAGGATCAGGAATCTGGAAGTAAATTAGCTGGAGGGTTCAAGCTCACCGGCTCTCATGGGGTCAAGATGTCAACCAGGGCTGCACTCATCTGAAGGCTTGATTGGGCTAGAGAATCTGCTTCCAAGATGGCACACTCATGTGACTGTTGGCAGGAGACCTCAGCTCCTTCCTACGTGGGCCTCTGCAAAGGGTAGCTCATAGCACACTGCACAGCACCTTCCCTCAGAGTGAGTGATCCAGCAGAGAGAGGGGGTGCCCAGGATGGAAGCCACAGTCTTTTTTATAACCAAACCTTGGAAGTAGCATATGATCACTTCTTCTGAATTCTATTGGTCATGGAGATCAACGCTGATACAGTGTCAGAGGAGATTGCTTGCTGGGGGCCATCTTAGAAGCCGGCTACCACACCAGACTTACCCACTGTAACTATTTTGCTACAACCCATTTATCCTCAGCTCTCTCAATAGTATACATTTTTCTTCTGAATCATTTGAGAATAAATTGTAGACATCAGGCTCCTTTAATATTTTAGTAGAATATCTCAGCCCTTGAGAATAAGAACATTCTCTTACTTGACCACAGTAGATAATGTTCAAATTCAGCAAATTTAGCATGGAGACAATGCTGTTATCTAATTCACTGTGTGTAATGCAATTTAGCCAGTTGTCCAGTGATCGTGCAATATATTATTCTCTTTACTTCACTCAGCATCCTAGCGCTCTGTGCTGGCCACTTCACTCAGACCTCAGAAGTATGTATTTAGGGTGTTGTGTAGAGGACCATCTCTCTTCATCCTGACTTGCTTGGCTACTCACCTGCCGTGGGCTATCTGGGTTGTTTTCCTACTTTCTCTCTTGTAAATACTCCCAGGCTAGATAGCCCTGTGAGCAAGGGCCTAAATGCTTCTTATCACAGAAGGCTGGAAGGGGACTACCACGTCACAGGTTGGCGCCCTTTCAAAGTCACCAGACCAAATTGCCTTCCAGAGGGGTTATCCAGATGACAATCTCACCAGCCCCTTGTAAGAGCCAAGGGATGCCCCTCTTGTCTCTCCTTAGGGGTGGCAAGTCTTTGAGGATGTATGGATTGAGTGATTGGTTGGTTTCTGTTTTGAATTGCCAGAAGTTATTCGAGGCCAAGCTTGGAAAGGATGCTGAAGGGTCCAGGGGGCTTGGAGGCTTAAAGCAAGTCATTACTCTGAAATCATGCGTCAGCCCACTTTGAGGGCTCAAAGCACAGAGCCCCAGCTTTGGAGCCTAGCAGCACTGGATGGCCTTTGGCTAGTCCCCTGAGCCCTCTGAGGCTATGTCCTCCTCAGTCAGCCTTGAAGTCCTGGGTGGTAGTAAGGCAGGGAGACTCTGGGCCAGTCATTTCCACTGTTGGCCTCAGTATCTCATCTATGAAATTGGTCCAATATGATCACAGCTCTCAGGGCTGTGGAAGACCACACGAGTGGACGCAGGTGGCCAGCTATACTTGCTGGATCAGTGTGGGCTGTCATGGGGTGCGGATTCTGTGCCAGTGCCAGTGTCAGGTACACAGCTGGCACTCTGGTTAAACAGAGGCTGCCAAGGTTATGATTCTTGGGGAGGTGACCCCTGGGGGAAGAGAGTGCAGGGGGCTAGGTGCTCTGGCTGAGGCATGTTATGGACAGGGTCACTGTGCCCATGTAACAGAACTAGTGCCCAGATCTTATGTGCAAGTCTGATACATGCACACACACCCACACTCACATGTACACACACATCCCCATACCTGTAGGCTCCCGAGGCACCCAGGTAGGCCTGCAGCCCTGGTCATGCAGGCACACAGAGGTGGAGGTCCTGGACACTTAGAAGGGGGCCCAGGATTTACAGGCTGGCGTCCAGAAGGGCCAGGCCCTGCCCCTCAGTTTCCATCCTTATCCTTGGCTTCCTGGGTCCCCCAGCCCCCACTGTGTCCTCCAAGATCACCAGCCCCACACCCCAGTGCACAGCTTGAAGTTACCTGCATTGGTGTTTTCCTTGGTTAGCTAGGCAGTCAGGCTGGGGCTGGCTGCTGGGACGCCGCCCCACAGCCGCCCCACAGCCGCCCCCTCCCCCGCGCTGCTTGTGCTGTGCTCGCCTCCCTGCTGGGCAGCTGGTGTGGTGTCGCCTGCTGCTTCCTCCGCTGCTGCCTCCCAAAACCCTGCAGAGCTGCCTTCATCTGGGGGGATGGGGGAGATGGGGCACAGGGGGAGGGGGTGAGATCAGAGGGCCAAAGTATGGAGGGGATGAGATGGGGGACAAATGCAGGGGTGAGGTGGGGAGTTGAGAAATGAGAGGCGGGAAGGATAACCATGGTGGGGTCCTTTCAGGACAAGGGGTAGCTAAGAAGGGGGGTTTCCGGTGGGAGTGGCCGGGGTCCCCAGTGTCTTGGGGCAGTGGGAGCCAAGGTTGGTTCTGACCCCTGCCCCCTCCCCTCTACCTCCCTCCCCTGCCCAGATCCCAGCAGCAGCTCCACTGAAGGGCCCAGGCCCCTCCTCATCCCCATCACTACCTCACCAGGCCCCTCTGGGGGACAGCCCCCACTTGCCCTCCCCACACCC